TTTCTGATAATATTTGTTTTAGGTCCTATATAAATAGCAAAACATTATTTCCATAATATTATTTCAAGAATATCTTTAAGAGATATTAAAAAAGCAATTATGTACGCTTANATATGTTTCTCTACTTTCTTCGGTAACTTTTTTTGAAGTTACTTCTGTGTTCTTATCAAAAGTTTTATCTGTGTTTATAATTGATGCTAAATCNTGTAGAACTTCTGGCTGGACATTTTTATTTGTGCTTGAAATTAATTCTGTGTTATTATCAATATTAATANTTGGTAATATTAAATCGTGATTGATTTCTGTATGGATATTTTCTTTATCTTCTGTATTGACGTCTTCAAATGTCTCAAGCACAGATGTTATAGATTGATTTGTTTCTTGCTGTACAATACTTGATTCAGAAGAAACAGTTTTTAACCATTCTTTCCATTTCAAATGAAATTTTATCCTATGNCCAATTTTTGGTATTAATGTTTGTATTATCTCTTCAGTCAGATATTTTAACGCAATTTCATCTATGTCTTGCTCTATCAAATAGATTACTTTCAATTTATAAGAGAAATAAAAAAGATAAGATGACAAATATATAAAATCGATTATAAATTCTAATTTATGAAAACAATTATATTAAAATAAATAAAATTTTGTATGATAAGTGAATTAATACTTACGTATAAATTTTGAGATAATATCTTCGGGCATTCCTCAACTAGAAAGTAATATACGAATCATGTTTAACTTCGTATGTTCGCACAGAGAATCAAAAACAGTCTAAGAACTACAATGCACAATTACCACAATTGTCACAATTATCATACAGATCACAATTATCCTTAGATATAGTGGTCAAATCACAAGATACATCAATGACGACTTTCTTTGTGGCTTTCAGAATCCACTTCGAGTTACATCATGTACTTCGCACCTAACCTAACGCGTGTATAAAAACGCGCGAATCTCGGTTCACAATCGGTAACAGTAGCAAAGTTTACTTGCTGTTATGGTAAATTTATGTATCAGCAGTAACAGTTTTGTTGCAATAGTAAACTGTCTTTGCTAAAAACAGATAATTTACTTTCTTAGAAAATTATAATAGTTATATCGACAAATTTATTCAGCAAAACTTTTCTATTTCTCGAGCAAACCGAGTTTTGCTATAGTATCAAATAAAATGAAACTTTAGTCGTAGAAGCAAACTTTTTTTTCTGTTATTACGAAAATGTAATAGCAATGACGAATTTGTTGCGGCAACAACATTATTTTTTTCCGTGTATATATATAGTAAATATTTAAAGAGTACTTATTGAATAAATCACGCCAATCAGCGCCAACTTTTAGCCGAGCGCACGTCAGTGAGTCGCGCGGAGAACTCCCGCACACAAGTCGCGCGGCTCATTGAGGTCCGCCCGGCTACAAGTCGGCGCTAATTAACTTGATTTATTCAATAACCATTCCTTTATTAAATGTAATAGAAAAAATTGATTTAAGACTTTTAAACTCAGGTTTACTTCTATCTGCCTACGAGAGACTTTAAGGTAGTTGTCGAACGCTCTGAATATACACTGAAGTATACTTAATGTTCTCTCTCACGTAATCCCTTTCTTACTCTGTTTCTCACTTTCTTTCTGTCTATACTCAATCTTTTTTTATTCTTGCAGTCTGTTTACTTTTCACTAAATTTATCATGTACCTAATGTATACTAATGCACTTTGAATATTTATACAACTGTCCATTATCATCATTGCGTTCATATGATTGTGACACGTGCAACACAATTTTTCAACGTAAGTGAAATGGAGCAACAAGTTACCATTCATTCTTCTTGTGAGAAACCTTATAGGTGTCAAGTACGTTTATCGATTGCATTCGTCAAATATATTGCGCATTGATATGTTCAAAGTAACAATAATGTTTTCTATTTAGTTTAAGGGGTGTAATAAAAGTTTTTATGCAAAAAAAAATTGATTGTCCATGAAATAGTTCATTCATCGTTGCGTCCGTATGAATGCGACAAATGCGATAACAAGTATAAAACTACGACAAATCTAATAACTCATCGTAAAAGTCATCTTCTTCATGAGAAACCTTATAAGTGCCAAGTACGTTTTCCGATTATATTTGTCAAATATATTGCGCATTGATTTCTCAAAGTGACAATGTGTATTATTCTGTTTAAGGTATGTGATAAACGTTTTCGGAGAAAACAACATTTAACTAGCCATGAAGCAGTTCATTCATCGTTGCGTCCGCATATATGCGACAAATGCGATAACACGTATAAAATTAAGCAACATCTAAGTCGCCATTATAAACTTCGACATTCTGATTCTAAGAAACCTTATAAGTGCCAAGTACGATTTCCGATTGTATTTGTCAAATATATTGCGTCTTGCCTTTTCAAAATGACACTGTGTCTTATTCTTTTTAAGGTATGTGATAAACGTTTTAGTACAAAACATGAAGTAACTAACCATGAAACAGTTCATTCATCATTGCGTCCGTATAAATGCGACAAATGCGATAACAAGTATAAAACTAAGACAAATCTAATAACCTATCGTAAAAGTCATTTTCTTCATGAGAAACCTTATAAGTGCCAAGTACATTTTTCGATTGTATTTGTCAAATATATTGCGCATTGATTTCTCAAAGTGACAATGTGTATTATTCTTTTTAAGGTATATGAGAAACGTTTTAGTACAAAACACAATTTAACTACCCATGAAGCAGTTCATTCATCGTTGCGTCCGCATATATGCGACAAATGCGATAACACGTATAAAATTAAGCAACATCTTAGACGCCATTATAAACGTCGACATTCTAATTCTGAGAAACCTTAGAAGTGCCAAGTACGTTTTTCGAATGTAGTAATAAAATATACTGCACTGATTTCTTAAAGTGAAGATAATATGTATTAGTCTTTTTAAGGTGTGAAATAATTTTTTCAAGTCACAAATACAGGCAAATAAACGTAGAATTTGTGTTCACTACACATGTAATATATGCGAAAAAAGTTTAACAAAAGAGTACCTTTTTGAGAAACAAGATGTATCACGAAGAAAACAATCAGGAACGAGAAGAAAAGATATTAAAGTTCCAGTGTAGTTTTTAATAATAACTCTGAATAAAGTATGTGATGCTCCAAATGTCAAAAATAATTAAAGAATATCAACCAATGAGAGCATATAAACACGGTTGATGTAGTGTTGATTATTTAGTATTTTAGTATTATATTAACATTATTCTTGATTGACGTTTTGACCGTCGTATTCGGTCTTTCTCAAAATCCTTCTATAATACCAAATCGCTGGAATCACGTATGATCAGTTCTGTTTTTTAAAGGCAAGATCATAGTAAGTTGTTAATTTGAGTCATCGCAACGATGATCATGTCTTTACAAAGTGATAACAGCAACTGAAAGTAGTTACTCTTATCACAATAAGTTGCTGGTATCACTTTGTAAAGACAGGATCGTCGTTGCGTTGACTATTCGTAATAGATATGTATGTATGTATATACATGTAATATATATGTACTAATATTATAATACCAGTGTTTTCTTTTTACATTATGTATTGTATTCTATATATATACATATACACTAATAAATATATATGTATATATATATATATATACATATACACATACGTACATATATATACACATATAATACATTTGTAATATATGTTTATAATATATATTATTTTTTTTTAAATATATACACTTTGATGTCGCACTGTGATATCGCACATATATAGTAAAGCTTATTATTTGTTGCAGGATGTAGTATTAACTGTTTCTCTATGATAGGTATATCGAAATAACTATATATGTCTATTTGACTCAGTTCACATTAATGAATCCGAACTTACAGTCTGTTTAACAAGAACGTGACCGCCATAATTCAAGAAAAATGCGCCACAGCGCCATCTATTTTTTTTTTGTCTTAATCTTTGACTCATTGCCTAGTGCGCATTATAATTCCTAGTCGTNTTCAGCTTTGTTGATAGAAGTGTTCTAATTATTAACGATCCAAAACATCGCAGTAAATTGTGCAGTGAGTGGAAACAGAAAAATAACATCACTACCATGGCGTGGCCGGCAATGTCTCCAGATGCAAACCCAATAGAAAATGTGTGGTCTTACATTAAAATGCAACTAAGAGGAAGGCCAGTATTCACGGAGAAGCAGCTGTGCTATCAAATAAAAAAGATATGGCGCTCTTTACCATTAGTACGCGGAAAATCTCGTCAAAAGTATGAAAAAAAGATGTGAAGCCATAAGAAATAATGACGGCGATTGGACAAATTATTGAGTGATTGCGCAATAGCTAACATTATACACTTCAAGAAAATATTTGGTAAAGAATTGTTTGATTAATTTTTTCTGAATAATAGCGGTCACGTTCTTGTTGAACAGACTGTATGTACTAAATATACAGTGTCCCGTAATAATAAATAAACTGTGCAAGAAATGAAAAAAGGTAAAATTTTGAACAAAAATTTCATTTTTCATTTTTGGCTTAGACCATTATTTATTTACTGAGGTTTTAACAATTACAGTTTTCCAATGTAATACAGCGCGTATACAAAGTATGCAGGAGCGTCACGCGCTGTGCTACTTCTTGCAATTGTCCCGCGATTCCATTGCTTCTTTTAAAACTTTATTCTACTATGTCACACTATATAATACATGAATAAATAAATAAAAACGGTTAAAAATTAATTAACTAAGTGATTTATTTGAAAAACGTAGTGATACATTGTCCGAAATTAATGAATACAAAAGTAATTAATGTTAATCGTGTCTTTTTACGTTTGTATTATTTAAAAAAATAGATTAATTTAAATTAGAATTACTCAGTTATTTATAATCAAAGTAAATTAATTTAAATAATAATTACTCATTTATTTATGTATGAGTTATTTTTTTAATTAAAAAAAACGTAAAAAGACACGATTAACATAACATGTTTATGTATTCAGTAATTACGGACAATGTATCACTACTGTTTTCACATAAATCACTTAATTGATTACTTTCTATTTGTCTTTATTTAGGTATTTATGTATTATCCAGTTTGACATAGTAGAATAAAGTTTTAACAAAAGCAATGTTATCGAAACAAGTCTAAGGACTAGCACAGCGCGCGACGCTCCTTCATACTTTGTATACGCGTCGTCTCATTCGAGAACTTTTATAGTTAAAAACGCGGTAAATAATAATCTAAGCCAAAAATAAAAAAGGAATTTTTTAATTTTTTTTAAAAGCTCGAAATTCATTCCCTGCAAGTTTACTACTCATTACGGGACACTATGTAGACGAAGCTTTGCTGATTTCACCGACATCCAAAAATGCATGCAAGAATATACACGTAACTACGAAATCTCTTAGTATCAGAAAATTTTATGTAACAAAAGGAACAAATAGAAAATTTTATATAACAAAAGAGACAAAGAGACAATANCATCCAAAACTTTACGGAATAACATTGTATGATGCAACATAAAAATATTTTTTTTTTTGCACAAATTTAAATCTTAAAATAAAGTAAATAGTATCCAACACTTATCTGTGCAGCGATTGCTATAAAAATACTTGTGTGTAAAGTATGTGTATGTCATGCAAAGATCCACTTTAAATAAAGTTTTAACGAATATTTTGTATTTTAAATACAACGTGCGAATCTAACAATTATAGAAAAAAATCGCGAAATATGTATTACGCTAATAATAATAATTTCTGCGCACGCGAAGTTGTTTTTCATAACCACCTAAACAGGTTATAACGCAAATAGACATCTGCACCCGCTGATCGCAAACATATCAATTGTAACAACCGAAGTAAAACGTGATATCGGTATTATGATTACTGCCGCGAGTGAATTTCATAACTTAGCAATCAAGAGCTCTAAGAAAGCGGTACAAGACAAAAGAGCGGACGTAATTGCACGTATAAATTCGCGTTGTATAGGTCGCGTGGGCTCGTTTCAACCCAGCACGACCTGATGTATCGAGATGTGGTGTGCGAAATAGCACCGCTCGCCACTTAAGTAACGAGTGCGTAACGGTAAGCGCGTGTTTATCAAGATCACTTTCGATTTCACGTACGCATCTTTTTTTTATGTAATTTGTTTTAATCGCAACTCATAATTGTTTAACGCAAGTCTCCCGACTTTCTTATCGTAAACCGATTAACCTGGTAGGTTTCAGTTTCTTTCTATTCTTCTTTAAGTGTCCGATCGTATTCGCTTACTGGACCATCCAAATGCCCGAGATCTATTTACAGAGAAACCATTTGCTTTTTCAGTAGCATAGCATTCAGAATAGATGTGTAACGGAGTACAAAGATTTCAATAATTGAAAATGAAATTCGATTTACGACCGACCGAATGTGAATTTTTATGAATAGGCTTTGAAATTGTAAAATTAAAAAACAAATTGAGGTGTTATTATATTTTTTTTTTTCAAATAATTCTCACAATTTCTTAACCATATTGTTACTTACATGTAATATATTATCTGTCTTTCCTACATACCAAGTCACGATACAATAACATTTCTAGCTATTTATATTTATACCTATAGGACGAGATCGTGTTTACGTCTTAGGTTTTCGTTTGCGATACCATATCAACGAACTAAACGTTTAGTTTTCTCTTGTGCTCTTACGTATACACATCGTGTTCTTTGTAGAAATCTTCTCCGTAAATGATTACTTGCTCACTGTTTGTCAAACGCGACACGTATGGATATATATAAGTTTTCAATTAAAAATGTTTACGCATATTGATAAAACTTTGCTCAATTTACGAGAAACAAAAGAATTGAGACTAGTCTATTGATGATATTACCGTAACTAGCAGAAAACGTTTCGTGCGCAAAGTAAGAAAAATATACAAGGTGTTCGACAATTATTTTACAATCGCTCGTAGACAGGTAAAAGAAGTAAAACAAAGTCGAAAAGTGATGCTGAACCATTTTTTTCTATTACATATATATATATATATATATATATTAAAAGAGTAATTATTGAATAAATAAACCCAATCAGCGCCGAATTTTAGCCCGGCGCATGTCAGTGAGCCGCGCAGAGCAATCATGCACACAAGACGCGCGGCTCACTGAAATCCGCCCGGCTAAAGATTGGCGCTGATTGGCTTGATTTATTCAATAATAATTCTTTTATTATATGAAATAGAAAAAATTGAGTCAACACTTTTCGACTCAATTTTACTCCTACCTGCTTCCGACAGACTTTAATGTAATTGTCGAACACTCTGTATATACACTAAAGTATACTTAATGTTCTCTCTCACGTAATCTCTTTCTTACTCTGTTTCTTACTTTCTTTTTGTTTATCCTCAATCTTCTTTTTTTTTTTAGTCTGTTTATCTTTCACTACATTTATCATGTACCTATTGTATAATAATGCGATCTAAATATTTATAAAACTGTCCCTTTTCATCATTGCGTTCATACGATTGTGACACGTGCAAAACAACTTTCCAACGTAAGTGAAATATGGAGCAACAAGTTACCAGTCATCCTTCCTGTGAAAAACCTTATAGGTGTCAAGTACGGTTTTCGATTGCATTCGTCAAATATATTGCGCATTGCCTTTTCAAAATGACAAGGTGTCTTATTCTTTTTAAGGTATGTGATAAACGTTTTAGTACAAAACAACATTTAACTGACCATGAAGCAGTTCATTCATCGTTGCGTCCGTATAAATGCGACAAATGCGATATCACGTATAAAATTAAGCAACATCTAAGTCGCCATTATAAACGTCGACATTCTGATTCTGAGAAACCTTATAAGTGCCAAGTATGTTTTTC